CGTCACGGGAGTCGAGGAACCGGTGGAAGGGTGGGTGGTAAAAGGCGTAGTCGAGAGAGTCTACCGGGAAACCAAGGAAGACACGAGGGATGGCACGAGCCGAGAGCTTGTCCGCAGAGGTGCCGAGGACAAGCGCAAGGCAGCCCCAAATACGAAAGGCCGACCCAACACCAGGAGAACCGGTCCAAAGACTGGTCGGAGAAGCCACTGGCCGCGAGACACGCGGCTGAAGGTTCAGCTGGTGGGCGGCATAGCAAACCGCGTAGGGCCACAGAAAATGGGGGGCACGGGCATGGATCATGGACGTGTGGGCGATGTCCATGACCAAGCCAATGCGGCGCTCAGCGACCTCATTGTGCTGTGGGGACTTCGGAAGCGTCCAAGACTGTGAGATGCCTTGATCGCCGCAGAATCCGAGAAGGATGCCGGAGCAAAACTCGCCCCCACCGTCAGAAGCACGGGGGACAGCGGGCAGCTCAGGGGAAGAGGAAACAGGGCGCCCACGGGCCTGGCGCAGCCCGTACGAACCGCGCGCGGGCGGCCCGAGGCGCGCCCTGGCCTGGCGCAGCCCGTACGGGCCGCGCGCGGGCCTGGCGCAGCCCGTACGGGCCGCGCGCAGGCCTGGCGCAGCCCGTACAGGCCGCGCGCAGGCTGTACGGGCCGCGCGCGGGCCCTACGCAGGTCGCGCAGGCCGCGACGGGCGACGGGGGGCGACGCGCGGGTCCCCGTCGCCCGTCGCAGCGCCTCCCGGGAGCGACGCGCGGAGTGACGGGGCAGAAAGCCGCCGTGCGCCTCGGGGCGCACGGCGGGCAGAAAACCGCCGCGCGCCTCGGGGCGCACGGCGGGCAGAAAACCGCCGCACGCTCCGAGCGCGCGGCGGGATGAAAAATCCGTCGCACGCCACGGGGCGTGCAGCACACAGAGTCGCAGTAGCAGCGGAAGCAGTGAGGTGGTGGGCCCACCCAGAGGATCGACCCAGGACGGTCGACCTGCTCTGATAGCATGTCAGAGAATGAATGGTTGAATTGAAAGAGAAGTGAGTACAAGTACCTAACCCTAGAATTGTGTACCCCCTAAAGGCTAACCCACTGTAGCCTAAACAACTACAACATATATAATGTTTGACAGTCTAGTCAGGAGACACGACGACCACAAGTTCTATCAGTGGCCAGAAGCCACTGGATCAGCGTAAAAGTTACCTCGGACTTCTTCGCGAGAGGAAACACCGTGGTGTACCTGGAGTAGTCGTCGATGACCACCAGAAAGTAGCGCTCCCTCTCAGGTCCCTGCATAGGGGCAGGGCCCCAGATGTCCAAATGGAGAGTCTGGAAGGGAGCAGTGGCCGAACGAAGGGAGGAGGAGTGCGGAGTGGCGCGCAGGTGGCCGGTGACGCAAGGATTGGATGGCGGTGCAAGCGAGGGAGGGAGGAACGCAAACACGCGAGGGAGACCTGAGATAAGACGTTGGCTGGCCATTCTGCGGGGGCGTGGGATGGACGGGTGACCTAGATGGTGGTGCCACGAGTGACCGACAAGAGCAAGATGCAGCAACCAAACCAGACACAGCAGCCTGACCGGACACACAGCAACCTGAGGGGATGCAGTATCCTGACCGGGCTCTGCTACATGGGGGACGCAGTATGCAGAACAAAGAGACCTGAGTGGGGTTCCCTGGTGAACGTGGCAAGTAGTGCCCCGGAGGAAGCGTCCGTACAAATCGCCGTCCTCCCGTGCGCAGGAAAAGTGACTGTGATCCCACGGTCCCTAAGGTATCCAACTCCCACCAAGTTCCGAGAGAACGAGGGGATGTAGAGACCAGTGAGGAAACCAGAAGGGACAGCCAGGCACGGAAGAGTGGTCGAGCTGCGAGCGACTAGGAACACTCGGCTAGGGAAGGCGGGCTAGGAACGCCAGTCGGGCCACAAAACCGAAACTACGCTAGGAAAAGTGACTGCGGCTGCCCGCCGCCGTTATGCCAAAGGCAGGAGGCGTGCACGAGACAATGGGCATTGGTGGTACTGCGGGCGGCTATGGGCGACAGTAGGTGAAAAATAGGCGGATGTAGGCGGTGGTGGGTGGCTAGGAGGGGCTATGGGCAGCTGGGAGAGGCTGTGGGCGGCAGGAAGAGGCTGTGGGCGGCAGGAAGAGGCTGTGGGCAGCTAGGATGAGATGTGGGCGGTTGGTGTCTGCTGCTGGAAGTAAGTTCTAGCTAGCGCGGCCCGTGCTAGTGCTTTTGTTGGCTATGTGTAATGCAGCTGTGTGCTGCTGCGTGCGCACACTAGGCGGAGCATGGTGTGCGCAACACAGCGGGTTCGTGGCTGCAGAAGCAGGCCGCTGGCCACTAGCGCTGCTGCTGCTACTGCTGGCGGCTGCAGGCGCTAGCAATGCGGCTGCTGCTGGTGGCTGCAGGCGCTAGCACTGCGGCTGCTGCTATTGGCTGCAGGCGTTAGCAACGCGGCTGCTGTTGGCGGCTGCAGACGTTAGCACTGCGGCTGCTGTTGGCGGCTGCGGGCGCTAGCGCTGCTGCTGCGTATGCGCTGGCCGTAGGCGGGCTGTCTGCCGTGCGTATGGCACTTTCTGTGCATGCGTGCGCAGCTGCTGTGCGAGCACGCGGCGGCTGGGCGTGCGCTTGTGGCCTGTGCGCGTGCAGCCTGCAGGCAGGTATACTTGTGCGGCTGCAGCTGTCCGTTCGGGCACGGTTGTGCATGCGCGCGCAGCTGTGCGTCCGCGTGCAAAAGTGCATGTTCGCTCGACTACTGCTGCTCGCGCGCTGCCTATACGTGCGTGAGTGGCTGCATTCGCGTTTTCGCCTCCTTCTAACAAACGCACGGGCACACGACCTAGCTGGCTAGGGCGCGCGGACTGGAGGATTCGGAGGGACGTGGGGGCTAGAGGGGAGGGAAACTAAGAACTAGGGCGGTTTTGTAACTAACTAGGTCTAGGAACTTAGCACGTGATACCATCTCAAGAGTAGGCTAGTGGAACAGTTCGACTAGTAGGAAACAAGGTACAAATAGGAATGTCGAGAAAGTTGTGTATCCTCTCTAGTGTGTGCCTCACTGTAAACTAACATGCATATTTGTTACTTGACAGCTTCATCGTTTGGACGGGGGGCAGTTGGTGTTGTGTTGAGTTATCAATATCAAGGGAGAAGGTGTGCGGGGCGATTTCTCGGCCATTTGCGGCCGGTTGAGTAGGTTGTGCGGGTTGTGATGAGGTTCCCGCGTCGCCGTTCCGCAATGCGTGGAGATCTTTCTCCATTGTTGATAGTCGCTAACAGTTGCTCGAGTGCGAAGGTTCGTATCGTGGTTGTCGCCTCAGTTGTCGCAGGTGGGTTGGTCTGGCCTTCAGCCGTCAAATTGGTTCGGCCTCCGGATTCTCTGGCCATCTTGGTCTTGGAACGTGTGCCGCTCGCCAATTTTTTGCTCAACGGATTTTACCGAAGTGGGCGTGCAAAGAATCCCTCGGTTGCTCTCACACCATGTTACAATCCTAAACAGGACCCAGCCAGGGATCGACTCAGAGTTGATCGCACATAATATTGTTGCAGCGGAAGTGTTGACCTAAGGTCAGAGTGAACGTAAATGACTCAGATGATTAGAAGCAGGCACATATCGCGTATATATATGAAAATACAGTGGAAAATGAAATGTCATAGCTAGCCATGTATAGGGGTACATTTCCTTAGTACATCGAATTTCAAAACGTGCGGCGCAGGAACCCGTTTCAAACCTATTCCTCCCGTTTTCACTTCGAATGTTTCTGCCTGCATCGGTTTTGAACTGACAGTTACCAGTATCGCTTCAGTTCTTCTTACCCTTCGCCTTCGCACTCGGAAAGGGCTGCTTCTGTAGCGTGCAGGAATGTTTACTCGTAAAGTTCATATATCAACAGAGACCATTGTATGCCTTTGTCATAATCACTTCAATCGTTTCATATTCACCCTGATCGGAGCTCAACTTCCGCTGCATTGACTCTGTGAGAACCATCCTGAGGAGATCCTGGCACGATCAAACTTCTGATCGCAACAGGATGCCTTTGTCGACAAGTTTATTGAGCCTATGGAGTAATGCTACTACTGCTACTGCCCAGAGGCGCTATCACTAGTGTAATGAAGTTGGATTTAAAAGCAGGTTTAGTCGGAATATATATGAGATAAATTGCTGTATTTGTATAGATGAATGAATCCGAGGTAGTGAAATCGAGGACGGAAGTGCGAAACGGCCGAGTATGGGGTGGGTGGGTGGTGTGACAACCACACGTTCCTGCTGTGAGTGCGGTGGGTTCACACGAACGTCAATTTTCGAGGGGTCAAAATCAGGAAAGTTTCCATGTCACCAGACAGCCCTGCTTGTTGGAGTCATAATTGGCAAAATCTTTTCTGCTGTGGTATTTCGTAATCCCGATCCTGAGGTAAGTAATGGCCCTCATCGACGATGTTGCAGTTGAGTTATTGTCAATTCAGTCCAGAAAATAACCCACTGACCCTTAGCTAAGAGAGTCTGAGAGCTGTGCCCAATCAAGTCCAACAGCTGCTGCGACTGTCGCAGCAGGCGCTTCCTTGCTTGAATTTTGAAACTTGACCTTGCACAAACCTCTCCACTATCCTCACCCCTAAAAAAACCATCACACAACTGCCTGCGTGAGGTCAAGGCAGGAATGCAGAGCGGTACCCAACCCACCCATGTGCCACCCACCGCATCCAGTTTCCCACTTACGTCGATTAGGGTGACGTCGCCTCGCCGGCTCTTGCACTGGCATCCAATTAGGGTTCGATAGTATCCATAGTACTCAGCACGGACACGGAGTTTTGCCCATTAGCCGTCTTGGCAGAGTGACGTGTCTTTCTGACGAACACCCTGTGCGACTACCTCTTAAGCTCCGCCTGTAGTTAAGCGAAGGACTCCATGTTAGGTTATTAGAATCTTATTTCTGATCGTATCACTGTTCAGTACTGTGCGTACCAGCTGATCTAGTTCGAAATTTGGCCAAGGTGTAACCATGTCAGGCTGCGAGGCAGCTGGCGTGGCGTCGACCGCCGTGGCGACAGTCGCGATGCCTTCGCGAGAGAATGGCGACGACATGGGCGAAGACCCGAAGCGCTTCGACTTCGGGTTCGCTTTCAACAACTCCGACTTTGCCGGTGCGCTATAGTCACATCCGGAAGGGCAGAGACACATTCAAGCGTAGTTGAACGGACCGTAGGGTGGTGGGATAAATAGTGCGTTTGAATTACTTATTGAAAATCCCCATAAGTGCTAAAGCAGCATACGATTAGTCCGTACGAAAGATTGAACACTACGTATGTCAGTCCCGAAACGTCGTGCGTGTAAGACTGTCGATTCTCTCAGAAGACGCTAGTTACCACGTCAATTATCCTAATTGCGGAACGTTTGCAGTTCGGCGTGGGGTTGTTTCAGGGTCCCAATCAGGGTTAATAACCCAAAGAAGTTCAGTCGCAAGACCTCGTCTGTTCGCGAATGTAACGGATACATAGAGCGGAAGAAAGCGTCGCTTTGAAACATCTGGATTCCATTCGAGACTCGACGGTTCGCCGTTTCTAACTGTTTCTACCACCGGCTTAGTGACCGTGCCACGTGTCATTCCTCCATCCGTTCGATTGTTTCCCCCACAGACCGCATCGTGCAGCTTCGGATTTGCCCTGACGAAGCCACAACCCCGCGTCGCTCCAGCAGCAGCGGAAGCTTCGGCGCTGCTTCCGGCGGCTCCCCGTCCCGCGGAGGCGGAAGCCCCGTTTCCCCGACCGCCGCCGCCGCTGCCGTAGCCGCCGCGTCTGCCGCCGGGAATCTAGGAAAGCGATGTTCTTCTATCGGAGGGGGAGCGGGGGGGATGGAGCGGGAGGGAGGCGGAAGCGATTTCGCGGATCTGATGGACCTCTCGGGGGAAGGAGGCGAGGGGGAGGCGGAGGGGGAGGGGAGCGGGGGTGCGGGGGATGGGGAGGGGGAAGGAGAGGGAAGGCGAGACGGGGAGGGGCAAGTGCGAAGGTACTCCTCTGATGGCCGAGGGGGAGGGAGAGGCGCGAGCGGCGAGTTGTCGTTTCTTGCTGCTGTGAATAATCACTCCCAAGGTGCGTTTGATGGCGTAGACACTAAAGGTGTGCCTGTTGTAGAATTGTTGAATTTAGAGAAACGAGACATTTCATCCTGCTGTTGCCGTTTTGTATGATTTCTTACAGCCCCCTTAAAGATGCTTTTGCTTGCCTTTACACGTTTTTTCTACTCAAACCCTGTTTGCCACTGTAACGCTTCTTTTCCCCCGATTCCCGTACGTTCCTGTGCCTCCCCCCACCCGCCCTCCGCCTTTATACCTGTTGCCTGCTCCCTCCACCCCTCCTTTGCCTGCTCCAACACCCCCACCGCCTCCCTCCTCTTACCGCTCCCGACCTTCCCTTACGCGTTTTCCAGCCGTACCAGGTTTGGGACCGGACCAAGCGGCAGCTCTGACAAGAGGCTCGGCAGCAGGAGGAGCTAGCCTCGGCAGCCGCCCTCACAGCCCCTTCACCACCACCAGCGGTGCTACTGGTGGTGCCACTGCTGCTGCTCCTGCTGCTTCCGCCGCTGCTTCTGCAACTGCTGCTGCTGCTGGCGCTTCTGCTGCAACCGGTGCTCTTGCTACTGTTACTGCTGCAGCTGCAGCTGCTGCCGGTGTTGGTGCTGGTACGGGTGCTGTTGGCAGTGCTGCTATTGCTGCTGCAGGGGTTGCTGGGGGGGTTGGAGGAGCAACAACCAGAGCGCCTCGATTCGGCAATCTCGGAGCGACAGGGCTTGCGCCTTTCGAGTCCGGCCAAAGGCAAATTGGAGGGGCGGCGATGGGGACAGGGACGTGTGGTGGGTGCGGCTTGGGGGGCGGTAGCAGCATCAGTGCTCACCTGGGCGGCAGTAGCGGGAATCTGGGCGGCAGCGGGGGTGCAAATCTGGGCGGCGGGGGGGGTGGCGGTGTGACGATAGGGAGTTGTGGTGGGTACAGAGTGGTGAATCTGCATTTGTCCTCGGTGGTGCTGGCAGCCAAGTCTGCCTTCTTCCGCACGCTCTTCACGTGTGGCTTTAAGGAGACGTGCCAGAACAACCCTGTTGTCCTCAACGTCTCGCCAGAAGGTAAAGTATGCGACCCGCATTCCACCAGACACTTGCAACAGGCAGGCGCTGTGTGCCAAGCCAGCATGCTTCCGCGTGCTTTTCCCCGCCACAAGCTAAGGTGCTGGGAAACAGGAAAGTATTCACAAGCCTTTTTTGTCAAGCCTGCCTGCCTTTCACTCTAACCTTGTGTCGCACCCCACCCCCCAATCCCCTCCCCCCATTTCTCCTTCCCCCGCAGAGGAGGGCCCAGTGATCGACCTGCTGCGCTTCATCTACACGGGCGACATGCAGGAGGGCAGCAGCAATTCAGAGGACATAATCACGATGTTCCTTCCACTCACTCCCTTGCACCTCTTCCCACTCCCGCTCTCCCTTGTCATCGTCAGAGGAGGGCCCAGTGATCGACCTGCTGCGATTCATCTACACGGGCGACATGGCGGAGGGCAGCAGCGACCCCGAGGACATCATCAAGATGTACCTCGTGGCCGACAAGTTCGGCGTCGCCTCCTGCATGAAGATCTGCCTCGAGCGCCTCGTCAACCTCCCCATGACCGTCCCCACCGCCTGCCTCTACCTCTCGCTCCCCGACTCCATGCACTCGCACCGGGGGGTCGCGCAGCTGCTGGAAGCTTCCCGGGGGTTTCTGGTGGCGCATTTCAGGGATCTGGAGCGCGTGCACAAGGGGGAGGAGTTTCTGGAGCTGCCGCTGGTGGGCGTGCAGACTCTGCTGGCCAGTGACGAGCTGAATGTAAGGGACGAGTTGACAGCATTTCACTCCATGGTGGAGTGGCTGAGGCATCATCATGACGATTTGGACGACAGGAAGTGAGTCGTTTCGCCCTCTCTCTCTCCCACACACACACGCGCACGCACGCACAAACACTCACTCACTCATCTCGTCACCACCATGCCTCAACACTCTTGTTCCGTCTCCACCACTCTCTCCACCGCTCTCCTCCACCAGGCGGGCAGCAGTGCGTCTAGCAGAGCACGTGCGCTTCCCCCTCATGACAGGGGATGACCTCGAGGACGTGGTGCTCAAGGCGCCCGAGGTGGACAGCCCCGAGTGCCAGGCGCTGGTGAGTTATTAGTTTGGTGGGGGGTCAGGAGGGGGCTTGTAGGGCGCGACAGGAGGGTTTTGGGTGCTTGGGGGGGTTACCATGCTGCTCTCGAGGGTGTGGTGCTCAAGGCACCTCAAGTGGACAGCCCCGAGTGCCAGGCGCTGGTGAGTTATTAATTTGGTGGGGGGTCAGGAGGGCGCTTGTAGGGCGCGACAGGAGGGTTGTGGGTGCTTGGGGGGGTTACCATGCTGCTCTCGAGGGTGTGGTGCTCAAGGCATCTCAAGTGGACAGCCCCGAGTGCCAGGCGCTGGTGAGATTTTATATAGGCTGGCGGGCGCTGGTGAGAGGTGCTGGGGAGGGTGGGTGGGCTTTCAGGCTGTGGCAGGAGGGGGGGTTGCAGCAGGGTTGGTGGGGAAGGGGTTGGTGCTGACCTCGAGGGTGTGGTGCTCAAGGCGCCCGAGGTGGACTGCCCCGAGTGCCAGGCGCTGGCGGGAGTTGGGCGCTGGGGGGAGTTGGGCGCTGGGGGGAGCTGGGCGCTGGGGGGAGCTGGGCGCTGGGGGGAGCTGGGCGCGGGGGGGGAAACGATTAGGCAGGTCATGTCTACAAGAAGTCAAGGTGCTGGGTTGCTGGGCTTGATGGTGTGCTGTATGCTCAAGTCAACGCCTTGCTCCCTCCCCATCTTTCTCTTTACCTTCCCCCCTCTTCCCCCACCAACCCTCCTCGCCCCGCCTGCCTCCTCTTCTCCATTTTCCGTTCATACCACTTATTCCCTGCCAGGTGAGGGAAGCAGCATGGTTCCGAGCGTACAGCTTGGTGCGTCGCCTGAGGCTCATGAACGAGACGGCCGCCACGCACAGGCGCTTCTGGCAGCGCCGCTGGAACCGCAACTCCGTGGGCCACGTGTACTTCGATATTCACCTGGAGAGGTTTCAGGTGGGTGCTCTGTTGGTGTCTGTCAGGTAGGCTGTGTTCAGGGTTTTGCGCCACTTTTGAGGCACCTAGAGGATGTGGTTTTGCGCCAGTTCGCTCGCCTTCGTCCGTGCAGTAACAGCCGCTGCAAGAAGGAGTTTGGATCATATGGGATAGCTAAACTGAAGGAATCACATTTTTCTGACTAACTTTTCCTCCTCTCCCCTTCCCTCCCCTAACCTCCGCTCCGCTCCCCTCCCTTCCACTTCCCTCCCCTCCACCCCCTCCCTTCCTCTCCCCTCCCTTCCCCTCCTCTCCCCTCCGCTCCCCTCCCCTTTCCTTCCCTCCCCTCCACTTCCTCCCCTCCTCTCCCCTCCCCTCCCCTCCGCTCCTCTCCCCTCCCCTCCCATTCCCTCCGCTCCCCTCCACTCTCTTCGCCCCTCTCTTAACTCCAGGCGCTGGCAGTGGCAGCGACGGTGGAGTCTGCCACGTTTGGGATCGGTGGGAAGCGGTTCTACCTGTCAGCCCGGCACGGGCGGCGGGATGATGGCACAGAAACGCTTGACATCCACCTGCACCTGGAGAACAGCCACAGCGTGCAGCCTGAAATTCAGGTATGGTTGATTTGAGGCCCGGGTGTGATTCACTCCAACCTCAGGCCACTGCAGGGAGGGGGATGATGGTGCAGGGAGGGGGATGATGGTGCAGGGAGGGGGATGATGGTGCAGGGGAGGGGGATGATGGTGCAGGCACTCTACTCCAGGGTAGCATCTGAAATGGGGGTCTTTGGACATTCACCTGCACCTTTGCATTCACCTGCACCTTTGCATGCACCTGCACCTTTGCATTCACCTGCACCTTTGCATTCACCTGCACCTTTGCATTCACCTGCACCTTTGCATGCACCTGCACCTTTGCATTCACCTGCACCTTTGCATTCACCTGCACCTTTGCATGCACCTGCACCTCTGCATTCACCTGCACCTTTGCATGCACCTGCACCTTTGCATGCACTTGCACCTTTGCATGCACCTGCACCTTTGCATGCACCTGCACCTTTGCATGCACCTGCACCTTTGCATTCACCTGCACCTTTGACATTCACCTGCACCTTTGCATGCACCTGCACCTTTGCATGCACCTGCACCTTTGCATTCACCTGCACCTTTGCATGCACCTGCACCTTTGCATTCACCTGCACCTTTGCATTCACCTGCACCTTTGCATTCACCTGCACCTTTGCATGCACCTGCACCTTTGCATTCACCTGCACCTGGGGAAGAGTCACCGTGTTCATCTGGAGATTCAGGTATTGAGTGAAATATAGGCTGAGTATATTCCCTTCCAACACCATGTCAGATGCTACCCTAGAGACCCCTCCCTCTCTTCTGCCCAACGCCCCTTCCATCCATCTGTCGCTTTCTCCCCGTCCCCTTGCCCTTCCACCTTCCCTCCCCCCTTCCTGCTCCCCTTCCTTTCTGCCTTCCTTCCATTCCACCTTCCATTCCCCCTTCCCTACGCCCTTCCCCTCCCCCTCTTCCCTCCCCCTCACCTCACCTCTTCGCTCTTCCCCCTCGTGATCTGAGCTCCATCGTATGCCAAGAGGTGGTCTATAGGCCTACCTTTGTGACCACGTGACCAAGGGGTTTGGGCGCAATGCCACCAATTTAAATTGGTCTTTCTTCACCTCCTTCCCTGCTTTCTTCTCCCCCCCACTTTCCTCCAACCCCCTTCCATTTCCGTCCCCTTCCACCTCTCCCCTCCCATCCCCCCCGACCTCCCTCCTCGTCCCTTTCCCCCTTCTTCTTTCAGGTGAGCTTCATATTCTACGCCAAGAGGTGGCCCGAGGGCCAGTTTGACTACCTGCGGGACCGCGTCACCAAGGGGTTTGGGCGCAACGCGAGCAACTGGGGGTACAGCAATATCCTGGGGCGGCCGTGGGCGGATGTGGTGCAGGATGAGAGCAAGTACTTTAAGAACGGTGTCATGTCCGTCTTTGCTGAGGTGCAGATCCTGGAGGACGCAGGCCGCGGGCCCGTTGTAGGGGGGTGAGGTTGGGGGCGAGAGCGGGGGGTACAGCGAGCAACTGGGGGGTGGGGGTGGGGGGGGGGGGGGGGGGAGGGGGCTAGAAGCAGGGCTGACGTTTTGTTTGAAGTCTCCCTGATTCCGGGAAAAAAAAATTGCCCCTCTATTATGATAGCGCATTTTTCACAAGGTAGCTACTCTGATAGCTCTATGTCAGTAGGACTCCTACTCTGAGCCGACAAGGTTCACACCTCAAAAACAGGGTAGTTATAGACTGTGCACTGTTTTTCAAAATGAGTGTTACACCGCCTGAATTTTCCTACACTATCTAGTGCACGGGTTTGTCAATGTGGTACACCTCCTCCACGTCCTCATTGTCAGACAGGAATGGATTGTCCTCTTCCTCCTCCCCCACGATCTCCTGATCGTCGCCGAAGGCCTGTTCCACTTCATCGTCCTCCTCCTCCTCCCCCTCATCCTCGTTCTCCCCGGCAGTTCCAGCAGCCACTTCTTGACCCTCCTTCTGCTTCCCCTTCCTCTCCCTCTCTGCCACAGCCAGCTTCAGGCTCTTCGCAGGCCGCCTCTTTCGCATGGACCACCACACCTCCAGCGCCTCCGGCCAGTCGATTCCATACTTCAGGAGCGATATCTGCATCAGCTCCCCCAAACGCGCGTTGCAGAGCGCTCCTCGCACCCAGGACTTGATGACGTTCTGCCTGGAGAACCCCCTCTCGCACTCCACGGTAGAGAGGGGGAGCACAGCCAGCGCCTGCCACAGCAGGATGAGGTTGGGCCATCTCCTGCCAGGAACATTAGAACACAAGACGGAAACAGTTAGAGCTGCTTACAACTGGTTAGAGTTCATGTAATCCAGCAGGATGGCTACCTCTTCGAGTCTGCGCTCCCAAGAAAGTTGGACAGGCCCTGGGTGAAGCTCTCCATCTCATGGTGTGTCTCCTTGATCGCGCAGAACATCGAGAGCTCCCTCTCTACTGCTTTGAGGTCGAATCCCGGCAGCTTGTTGCAGAATCTTCTCTCGCTGGGCCTTGATCTTCGGCCACTTCCCCGCCCGGAACAGCTTCGTCGGGCCCAGCTTCCCAAGGTCATCCAGCCGGTCGTTGAGGTTGTCAACGCAGTCGCGAGCGAATTGGCGGCACAGCTTCACGCAGTCTGCGTAGGTGCTTCCCTGCTTGTGACCCTTCAGCTTCCTCTCATGCATGGTGTACATGTGGTTGACTAGGCGTCTAGCACCGTCCACGCCTCGCACCCGGACCTGCTTGCCTCCACCCTCCTTGTGGACCTTGAGGAAGTTCACCAGCCAGCTCTTCCCCTCGCCCCCGAAAGCTTTGTTTGTCGTCAAGTAGCGCTCCGTCAGTTCACCCGTGGTGGACTCGATCGTCTTCGCAATCTCGGTCACATCCAGCTGTCACAGAGCAGCAGTAGACAATAGGGAGTAGAATTAGCAACGGTGTAGTATGACTCCTCAAATTCCAACAACATACTTGCATTGAGACTCACCTCACGTCTCTGGAAGCAGCGGTTGAGGTCGTTCATGTCCGGCAGAATGTCGCCCAGGAAAAACAAACAGAACTGGAACTTGTAGCAAGTCACGATCCCGTAGGCCTTGTGGTTGTGCTCCTAGAGCAGCACGATGCAAGCACCGAGGACCTTGCACAGCCGACGCACCGCATCACCTCGTGACAGCCACCAAACCGTGTGGATCCCTTGGACTTCGAGGTTTGTCTTGTAGATGACTCGCTGCAGGTACTTGAACCGCTGACTCCATACGCTGGAGTTTCCGAGCAGCGTCGCCACTGTGCGCACCGCCTTGTCGACCATGCCGAGGTCCGGGTTTGACTCCGCGGCGTCCTTCACAGCCAACGCCTCACTGTTGGAAGTAGGGAATACAAATCAAGAGTTGCTAGTAAACCAATCAGCGTAGAAAACCAGCAGTAAAACAAACCAAGATACAGACCGATGGGCGATGCAGTGACATGAAAACAGGTGCGGGGCGTGTTCCCGAAGACGCGCCACCAATCCGTTCTCTTTCCCGGTCATGACCGACGCCCCATCCGTGCTGATGCCGATGATCTTGGACACATCCACGGCTGCGGAGCGGAGATGGTTCAGAAGCACCTCGAACAGAGACCCTGCATCACACCGCTCAACCGTCAGCGAAGTAAAGAACTCGCATGCGACTTGGCGATTCTTCATAAACGTGAAGTAAATAATCATGTTTTACCCTCGCGTTCGGTCGGTGCTCTCGTCGGATTGGATGCCCAGGTTGGGGGATGCCAGGATGTGGTCGATCTGCACCCGCGTGAGGTATGTGCTGATGCTGTGGACCATCTGCTGGAAGCCGTATCTGCAGAAAGGACAAAGAAATGGTAAGCAAACGATAGTCAAGCAAGGACACCAGCAACAAATTGGAGTCAGCAAGTGAACTGTAGCATTAATTACCGTGTCAGATACACGCCGTAAGATTGTCGAGGAATGTCTGGCGTGTCCCGCTCCGCAAGATGCCGCATCGGCTTAGGAAACATGCTAATCGGCGCGTCGCACTGGCACAGGAACAGAGTAGACCGCATCAGACGAATCGCGCGCCGCCCCTCAACGTCGGAGTTGATGAAGTCCGAAATCACTTGCTGCCCCTCGCGGATGCCCGCCCCAATCTTCAACTTCCGGTCCACCGCCGCCTTGTGTGCGTCCGTATGCTCGTGCGCCTGCAAGTCATGGCCTCCATCGTCACCTTGCATGGCGTACCTCGTGTTCCCCTTCCCGTACGACATGCAGATGCTGCACTTCACATAGGGAAAACTGTCCTTGGTTTTCCCAAACACCAGCCAAGAGAAGTATCCCGACCACTAAGTCTCGTAGTTTATACTCGCCTCCAGGTACATCTGCTCTCGCAGCTGCGCCTTGGTGAGTGCGGGCGAGCCGGTATCCGCGCGCACAGGGATGTCAACTTCCTCCGGCAGCTCAGCTTCTTTCGGTGGAGGATCAGCCGGCTTTTCAGGCGGTGGAATACGGCGGCTTCCAACGACCAGAGTACTCTGCGCCCACTTCCCAGATCGCGCACGCTTGGGAGTGGAACAAGCCGACGGCGGACCAAGGGACACCCGCACCGTGCTTGGGGTGGGACTGGGCGAGGGCGGTGGGGGATCTTTGCTGCAGCCAGCAACAGCCGGGGGGAGAGTGAAGGCGACAGGACGAGGAGAATCAGTAGGAGAAGGGGTTACTATAGCGGCAGAGTCATGAACGATAGACCTAGGCGGGTCTGGTGTGACGGAAGCAGCCGTAGCTGTAAGAAAATCGAGCCCATAACAGGGAGCATCTGATGCTTTCTCCGGCTGGGCTGGCGCTGTTGGTTTCGCCGGTAAAGGTGGCTCGTCAGGGCCAGTCTCAGGAGCAGCTTCGTCGGCCGGCAGGGCCTCCATGGTGGCGAGATTGATGGCTAAACTGAGGGAGAGGAACGTGTGACACTGGATGCATGAAATGGAAAGAAAACAGCAGGAAGCAAAAGAACCCTGGCTGTTGGTAGGGGGAGGGAAGGGAAGGTTGGAGATGGCGGGGTCATTACGAAACCACCGCGGCGCGACTCCATAACCTTGATGGCAGCATTCGTCGATGAATTCGGGCTTGCATTCAAGGCCGAATTCATTCAAGGACTGCATGATTGCCACCACATACTGTCAACATGCCGTTCTGGCCAATGGCAGATGCATGCTGTGCACTGTGCGGTGCACTTGGCAGCACCGTATAATTGCTTTGGGTGCGTTGTCACTGTTGCCAGCTGTGATGTACAGCACGGTGGTGTATTTCATTGTCGGTATTACGTCAGTTCTGCGCGTGAACGGGGTACCTCACATGGGGGCACGCGAAGTAATGGTTACTCACAAGGGGGGGTTATCGGAAGGAAACTTCGAGGAACCTTCCTCCCGATACCCCTCGCATTCAGGGTCCACTGAACGCATGCTCTACATAGACATAGTCCGCAAATACACTACTCTGAGCCTAGTTACAAGATTTCGGAGTACGTTAAGTAACTTATCTGATTGGATGAAAGTTCACAAGTTAAAAAAACTGGGATTGCAGGGACCACCAAGTGAGATGCCTGTAATCACCCTGAAATCAGGGTAATTACCCTGATAATATCAGCCCTGCCTAGAAGCTAAGCGCTGTCTTGTGTTGTATTTGCTGGGGTGCAAAACAAAGTGTGAATGAAGGTATTGCTAGCACATGCAGTTAGTGGGGTTTGAAGTCTGTACTTTGTTTCCAAGACTAGCCTTTTTTTTTCCTTGCCCGCACTGAATCGTTAGCATTAAGATACAAGTGAGTCAAAACAATACATCAAAAGATTCGGTGGCTTTAGGTAAAACTGTTGTTACATCTGTTGGAAACAAGTGATTTAACGCTTCCTATGTGTCGTAACTTCGAGCTATAAACGAGGCAAGCTACAGCGGAGCACTGGCGAGTCAACCGAGGAGGTTGACAGAAAAGTAACAGCCAGAGGTTACGCGAAGGTCAAAGGTCAGCGACCTTTGACTCGACAAATACAGCACGACAGCAAGGACAAACAGCTGAATCGCTATTGAGCAGTTGCCCGAGTCGTCAATGTATCGAACCGCAACAGCAACAGTAAAACAGCTAGGCCGCACCTTTTCATATTCCATGTAATCATATAAAAAGCTTGTATTACCTTTCTATAATCTATTCTATCTTGCCCTCACATACTAGCGTAAGGTGGTTCATGTCCCTCCACGAGCAACACCAGCAAGCAGCACCTGCACAGTCAAACAACAGCGACAACAACAACGGAGTCACACCGATGAGCCTCGACGGTTCATCCTATGCACGCGGAAACCAGCAGCAACCCACCTTTGCTCCGTACGAGCCTCAACACGGCTCCATCAGCTTCATGCCGCAGCCTTCACCTAGACAAGAGAACACACTGGACGCGCTTCAGATCCAGTCGCAGTTTGCGCGCGTCTTAAAACTGCAAACATCAAGACCATTCGACGACAAAG